GCCACCTCCTCTTATACCTCCCTGCACTCCTCAGCCATGCTGCCTGGGTGAGAAGTAATGGCGATGTTGCAAGGACGGGCACCCACACTGGCCAGCCAGCTCAAGTGTGATCGCAGAGATTGCGGGAGAGAGAGGGCCGCCTGATGGACGGATTCATCCGCCCCACCACCCTTGGCTCCCCGAGAATTAACTGAAGGAGGGGAAAAGGCTAGCTGGCGCCTCGGAGTAGCCCCGTGCCCTCGGCAGTACTCTGTGGCTGAGAGGAAGGTCGGAAAGTCCGTTCGCGGCCTGATTCTTCGTTCTTTGCTTCTCAGAGCTCCTGAACGTCCACACGTGACGACAGGCCCTTTTGAGTGATTTAAAATGGCAGCGGATGCGCGTGCAGCTTCCTCCCAAGTCCACAGTCACTTGACAAAAAGGCGCCAAAACGGTGGAAAACTGTTGGCACTGTTGCCAGGCAGATGAGAGGGCTGCGAAGCCAGCGGCAAACGCCCGCAAGGCCTTGGTCGAAATACGGTCGGGGGAATCAATTACGGAACACAGACACGCTCCCCACCCCCCCTCACTCGCCAGTGGCTGCGGGACAAGCAATCTCTGCGCCCTGAGCCGCTTGTGACCAGCGGAAGGCAGGGCCAGCCCAGAAAGCCTCTCAGCGATTCACTCAAACCTTCACTGCAAATACTTCTGATCTTCGACAGTTAGGACGAAAGGTGGTCAAAACGGGATCAAATACCCTAGTCTATCTATCCTTGGACTGGAGCACTCCCAAAACAGTCCCAACGGGCGGACTGAGTTTTTAAACTGAATATGAAGAGGCAAAAGGAGGCGTGGTCAAGAAAAAACATCACTCAGTCCTAGGGCAGATAGGCTGTGTTAACCCACGCTTGGACTCTCCGAGCAGTGCACTGGAGAAAGGAGGAAGGAATGAAAGATTTCTGATGCTCACTGCCTCCTTCTCACAAGAAAAATCTGTGGGGAAGCTCCTGCTCACATACATTGTTTTGCTATGTTCATTCTGTTTATTTGTTTAGGTAAGGAAATATCTCTAAAACAATAACCCAAAGGGGCCCCAGTTGTTGAATCTGTCCTATAATTGCAACATTGTATTTGGGGCAGTGCTCCTGTGGATATACAATGGTGCTTTTTCCAAATCATGTTTAGATCGTATTTATAAAGAAATATTTAAAATTCAAAAGAATTCACAAATTTTTAAGCACTATATAAATGCACTTATGCTCTTTAAATTTTCTTTTACTTTTCCCTGTACAACAATATATACTGCTATGTAACACTTCGTTGCATTGTGAGCCCAAAATATAGAGCATTATGTTAAAATATGATCAACTGCAACATTTCCAGAGCGCGAAAAACGGCCCTATGGGCAAACCAGAAATTTGGGAATGGACTTCCGGTTTCTCCCTGGGGCTGTTTTTCGTGCTCCGGAGGCTTCAGGGAAACCTCCTGAGGGCCTTGGGGGTGGTGGTTTTGCCCTCCCCAGGCTCCTAGAAAGCCTCTGGAGTCTGGGGAGTAAAAAACAGATCCATCACGGGCCAAAAGCAGGAGGTCACACGCATAGCATTATGGGTGTGGGCATGCCCATGCACGACCCCCTTTTGTTCCCCCCGCTTTTGGCACGCAATGGGAAAAAGGTTAGCCATCACTGCTATAGGGCATTGCAAGTCAGAACAACCAGACACAAGGAGTTTCCCCATGTCATAACTCTGCTGAACAACTAATACCCACAACACTATTTAGAAAGGCAGTATTACCATCATTTTTCTCATCTTCCCTATTACCTTATCTTCTTATGGCTATAACTTCTGCTTATATCTTATGATTTAAATTTTAATTAGTATTCTAATATGATTTATGTTGATTGCTTATTTAGTATCCATGGCTATCAAGTGTTGTATCTAGTGTTTTATGATGTATTTTTCCCAAGGACTATGATAATGATCTATTACTATTGTTGTATGTACACTGAAAGCCTATGCACCGGAGACATATTCCTTGTGTGTCTAATCACACTTGGCCAATAAAGAATTCTAAGATACTAAAGTTCTGGATAATAACATAAATAATAAACTGAGAATGGCTATATCCTCACATCTAATTTTGTTTTCCCTAGAGCATCTAGGCTCAGCTTTGTAATAAAAGCTCTCTAGGAAGTCTCTCCCAGTAATACTTTCCATTTTCTTTGCTGTGAATCACCAAATCAGCAGGGTATTTGTTTACCGCATCCTTGCTTTTCATTATGTATGAATTCTTCTACCTTTGAGATCGCTAAAAGACTATTTGAGACAATTGTTTTCCATATGAACTTAATGACTAGAATGCTACAACATAATACAATCTACAGACCATAGAAAAATTAGGTTTTGACTTTTTAGCTTTGATAATCTGAAGCTGTAAGATAAAATCATTTTAGGAAACATTGATAGGCATTTAAATAATACACACTTATCTTTTTTGAAGTTTTAGCAGCACTAAGAACACAACAATTAAAAATATGGTTAATGTAAAATCTCCTCCTGAAAATGGCACTATCAGCAATATCGTTCTCTAAAAAAATTAGATATTATATCAATACCTTAAGGTTGATTTTCAGAAGATGAGGCAGCAAGAAACTTGGCACAAGAATACAGAAAGGAGGACTGGACTCCACCTATGACTTTTTCCTAGCCAGGTCTCTACTTTGCAATGTTAGTCCTACCTGGGATTTCTTCCAGTATTCTTTTGGAAAGTTCGCCTTCTTCTGATAAGGTCAGGAATAACATAACAGACTCCTTAAACCAGTTGGGTCTTCACAAGCTTTCTTAGCTTGTGAAGATGGAAGTCCACATTATTATCTTCCTGTTCTAATACACTACAGAATGATTTCTGAGATCATAATGACCGGTCATTATGAAATTATAATTTCCCATAATGCAATCCAGAAATTATATACCATTATATTTCAAAGTGTCTAACAAATCGTCTTCTTTCTTTCTGCAATTTTGTTATTGTTGCCAAACTGGAACATTGCAAACAAAATAGTTACTCAGACTCTGCTAGGAAACAAGCATAGTGTGGCAGACTGCACAATGAAGACTTTTATAATCTATCTTTACTAGAAGAATTCAGCCATAAAAGTGTAACATACTCACTCATAATTGTAAGGTTCTGCTTTATGTTTAGAATACACAGATCTCATTATGAGTCAGATAAACATTTTGGCAAAGGTCTGTAAAGACTCAGATTATAACACCAAGTAACAGTAAAAGCTGTATCCTGAAGTTTAGGATTGTTTTTTGAGAATCTGCGAGATCAACAGCCTTACTTAGGACGAAGGCTCTCCATCATTTGTAGGAATTAACATCTGTCTTTTTTCCGTCTTTATTCAGCGTTTTCATCAAGATAGTCATCCATTTTAAACAACTTGTAAATGCATATTTATGAAAGTTATTGAGAAGATTAAAATTAAAACAACTTTAACATTTTAGTTCAATAATATTTAAAATAGTGTGGTCTATTCAAATACTGTTTGTATGCACACTTTTATCAAAGCCTCTCTTTTTTAGGCAAGTCATACATAAACTCAGATAAGAAGAAATATGTCACAATCTTAGCAAACAATTGCTGTTGGTTCTCTTTTCATGCTAGCAAAATCAGTTGGTAAGATTGCTATTGATCTGATACATATCACTATCTAGGAATGAGCAATTTGTGGACTCTGGGCAATGCAGATGTTTATGTCTCTGTTACCCTAGCCAATGTATTTGTACATTGAGGTTGATGCAAGCTGGAATGCAAAAGTCTGCAGGGCCATAATTGGGTTACTTGTGAATTATTCATATATGTCAGCCTTTCCTAACCTGTGCAAAACTGAGTGGCCTTCAATTTCTGTCAACTTCAGTCAGGATGTTAATTGTGGCTCAGCGTGTCTGAAAAATAGAGAACTCAATTGGGAAATAGTAATCTATCTAAAGATCATAAAACATGGGCTCAGCATGCTTTTACCTTCCCACAGATTCATCCTAGTTCCAAACACTGGGAACTTCCATGTAAGGTGACTCTCCGCACTAGGTTGTATACCTAGTAGGGGTGCGTTGCTGCCGGCATTGCTGCCGGTTCACTGCCCATGTGCACAGAACATGCCCACCTCTGATGCCTAGCAGGAAAAGACCCCAATTAGCACAAATGGCTTTCTCTTCTGACATAGGGGATCCTAAAATGTTTTTCTCAAGTATCTTTTACATTGCATCCAATCATTTATGCAGATTATTCTGTAAGGACCTAGTCTAGTGTACATTACTGATGAAGTAGCATGTAAGTATATCAGGGCTGCCCAGAAGGCTTGTCAGGCCTAATCAACCTGGATTAGAAACGAAAAATATATGACTGAATTGCAGCAAGGCTAATAGGTCCTCAGTGGCTGCGCTCTGTAAAGGCATGAGGTAAACTGACCCAAAAGTCCCAAGGAATATCTACTGAAGTGGTTACAAAGAAGCACATATTAATATCTTAATCAAAAGCAGAAATGCTTAAATTCATGTTCAGAAAGAATTGACCATATATAGAGCTACTTTTGTTTACATGAAAAATATAAAATGCAAGATCCAGAAGACAAGGCATTTAAACAAACTTTTATAAAGTTTTCTCAAACAAGGTGTACAATAATTGTGCAAAATAAATACAGTATATCAGTAATATTTACCACTAGGGTGTTGCAGAAATATTTATTTTCAAGAACATTTGCATCACAGAATAATTTCAATTACCATCTTTCAGACTTCTCCAAACACAATTTGTGCATACTGAAATCCATATGTTCATGTATTACATGGGAATATATATATATATACATACATACATACATACATACATACATACATACATACATACATACACATATAAATATACATTATATATATATATGTTCGTAGATTTTCATGGGTGTAGGTATGCTGATCTTGTTGTATTCGGGTTACACAGGAAAAGACCCGAATACAACAACACCAGCATGTATGTATGTATGTATGTATGTATGTATGTACGTACACACATACACACACACGTAAGATTCACATTTGTGTGCTACCTGGATTACATTCAAAGTTTCTATACCTCATTCCCCATTATACAGTTTTATTACAGTCTTGAAACCCAGTCATATGCAACAATGGAGAGATTCAACCCTCTTTAAATATATAGTCTCACACACACGCACAAAAAAAAACAACCCCCCCCGCAGACATAATACTTTTCTGAACAGCAGAAAAATCCAAGGAAATGCTATGCATTGCTTCCTAATACTGGCATGGAATTTTTGTTCATAATTTACTTCGCAAAATATCCAATTTAGAAATTTATACCAATGCATAAATAACATTTGTTCTCTTTTACATTGAGTATAGCAGCATTTCAGTTTTTCCAGTTCCAAGGGATACAGATATCTCCATCTTGCAGAACAGAAAAGAAATGGGAAATGCAGAGATGCATACCTTGCAAATATGGCAATGATTCTCCTAATAGATTGCTGCATGAATGAATCATCTGTGCACTGGAAACACTGGGTTCTTTATATAGCTGTCGAAGACAAAATTTTTCTGTGGCAGCCTTGATCAGCTTCTTTTCTAGTAGTATGGACCTGAAATTGTAAACACCCCATGTACACCTTAATAATATAAAACACGAGACTTCCGGTGGGCAGAGCCTGACAGGGGGTTGTTATTTTTAACAGCTCTGGAATCTTGGCATCGTTAAACTGTCTAAACAGCAATCTATCAAGCTGTTTAGCAGTTTATTTACCCTCTCTTCGGGCTTAGAAAAGAGAGGTGAGAAGCTATGCATCGGAAGCCCACCAACTAGCCCTTTCAGCCAAAATGCTGGGAGGAAGGGGCAGGGCCCCGGCTGCAGCATGGCAGCTCCGAGCCGGGATTCATTCTGCCTTTTGTTGCAGAACGAAGGTTTTCGCTCATCCTCAGCACAATGATTTACTGTGGTCTTCAA